GACTCTGAGAAACAAACTGAGGGTTCTAGAGGGGAGGGGGGTGGGGGGATGGGTTAGCCTGGTGATGGGTATTAAAGAGGGCACGTACTGCATGGAGCACTGGGTGTTATACGCAGACAATGAATCATGGAACACTACGTCAAAAACTAATGATGTAATGTATGGTGACTAACATAACATAATAATAAAAAAAAAAAGTGAAGAAAGACCAAGCACTGGGTTACTTGGTCTTCCTTCCTTCCTTCCTTCATTCAACTTTGTCAGCAAACATTTTTGGATCGCCCACGGTGCGCCATTCACAGGGTACACGTGGATGCAGTGGTATGGTCCAGGTCAGAAAGGAACATAGAGTTCATGAGGAGGCATCCTATGAATAATGTCAACCCAGGATGGCCACTGGTGATTGGGTTAGTGACCAGATGTAGTAGCTACATCAGCCAAGGACCCATTGAGCTGGAGTTATGGCAGCTACCCCAATCAGGCCGCCCCTGAGTTGAGTCCCGAGGGACAGACAGGAATTGGCCAAAGAGAGGAGCAGAGATGGGGAGTGGGAGTGGGGGTCATTCCAAACACCAGGTACGGTGTTTTTAAAGGTACAGAAACCTGTGAGCACAGCATCTTTGTCAGTAGGTACAAATAAGTTTCCGAGTTCCTTAAGCAAGGAACTGGCTTGCGGCAGTGCTCAGTGAGTATTTGTTGGATGGGTGAATGGATGAATAGATGGATGGATGGGTAGGTGGATGAATGGTGATGGTTGGATTGGGATGAATAGATGGGTGAATGCATGATGGATGGGTGGGTGGTGGATGAATTAGTGGATGAATAGATAGTGGATAGATAGATGGATGGATGATGGATGAATGGGTGTGAGGATGAATGGATGATGGGTGGATTAATGGATGAATGGATGGGTGGATGGATGATGGATGGATGGGTGGTGTGTGAATTGGTGGACGGACAGTTGGATGGATGGATGAATAAATGTATATTAAACTGAAAATACCTAGTTCTCAGCTTTGAGGAGGAGGAGCCCAGTAACGCCCCTGCTCCCATGGTTGCTCTACTCCCCCTGGGCTGACTCTGCCTGAACTTCTCCAGCCTCAGGAGATTCTTCCCTCCAACAACTTGGCTCTCCCGGCCAAGTGATGCTGAGGGGGTGGGAAAGGTCACAGAGCCAGTTCTTTCCCACAGCCCCAGCACAGAGAGTAGGATTCCTCCCTGGCACTGGGAGAGAGTTCGTTGGTGACATCATTAGATTAGGCTCTGTGTTATAAACTGAACAGGGAGGGCGACAAGGGAACGTCAGGATCCCTCCATCTACCCTCGCCTCCCCAGGCTCCAGACATGAGTCCTCATTGCTGTCAGCAGAACATGCAGACTCCTCCAAATGCTTGGATGCCACTTTGGTCCTTGAGTGCAAGACCCAGGCCCATCTCAGAGACACTCCTTAACGTGACCTGGTGGCTGTTTTTATTTGAGGTGAACTGGTGGGTGAACGATCACTGACGGCTGTTTCATGTGTGTCAGGCCTGTGCGGGGCGCTGGGGGCGCTGCACTGAGCGGGACTGTCAAGGAAGTCCCTGCAGTTCTGGAACCTTCGTGGGGCAGAGTCAGAGGCAACTTGCAGAGTCGCAGACAGTGCTTGGGTGGCCGTGAGGCACCGATGAAGGAGCCTCTGGTTATGGGAAGGTCAGGTGGGAGGGAGTCAGGTGCCGGGGCTGTCCCCAGAGCTCGGCAGGAGGAGCACAGAGAAGGCTAGCGCACTGACTACGACAGACAGCCTCAGGACTGCGTCCGCACGCAACATCCTGTCCAGGAAGACGGAGGCTCCTTAAGCTCATTTACTAACGCTGTGCTCATTTGGGAACTCCGTGGAATGAAATGCCAGGTCTCAGGAGGAAGACCCCAACGACACAGCCTCTGTCAGCCTCCAAGAGAGAAGAGTGTGGAGGACTGAACTCAGGACAAAACGGAACCCTGCCGACTGAGGACACGAGGGGCTGGCTTGGCAGGCCCCTGGTGGGTCACTCTTGATACCCATCACCCTGGAGGAGGAATCTGTGGTATGAAGGGAGGGCTGGTCCCAACAGTTTGGGAGGAGGCCAGCCTCCAGTTTCGAGGACACGACACATCTCTTCAGGCCAGGACCGCAGGGCCCTCTGCTCCGTCAGGCACGGTGCCGAGGGCCCTGGAGCCTCATGGGGGTGCACGAGAATGTTTTAGTTTCTTTAAAATCAGGAGAAATAAATGAATATAGCCCAGCCTAGGTTATATAGCTGTCTTTTTACCAAGGCAGTTTAGAAAATGTAATCTGTGACTTTTCATATATTTAATCTCAAGCATAAAGGCAGGGAAGTCAAGCAAGCCTCCCTAAATTAATCTCAAGCATAAAGGCAGGGAAGTCAAGCAAGCCTCCCTAAATTAGAAGGTCGTCTAAGGCCCTTGAACTTCCAGATGTTTTCCAGAGTACTCGATCCACTCACCTGGGCAGGGCAAAATGTTGCACTCCTGGTATTCCAGGGATGGGCCCAGGCACGGCATGCCCCCATACTTGGGCTCGGGGTTGTTGCAAACACGCTTCCGGTGCCGAATGCCCCTGTTACAGTCGCGGCTGCACTGTGACCATGACGTCCAGGCTGACCACGCCCCGTTGACGGTGTGGGCAGAGTACCTCCCAGCGCGCAGGAAATCACCAGAAAGTCCTGCCAACGAAGCGGCCCGCGAGCGGCTGTTAGAAGTTCTGAGAGTAATCAGAGTCCCAACTAACCTTCCCTGTCTCTCAGCTGCCTGCTTCATTCTGTAACTACATCCCCCAAATCAGTGGAATATTTCTTCTACTTCAGAAGAAAGAACTGCAGGTGAATGCTAATCTTCCATAACTCAAGCTTCCTTCTCTGCGGTGGCTCTTACATAGGATGCAACGCAGAACTTGACTGGTAAATGCGGTCACATACTTATGCAATAGGTCTTAGGTTTGTAGGCCACTCGTTTTTCTGAGAAACTTCGTACAAAGAAAACACAACTTTCTCACTTCTCTCGGGAATTCTAGAGCAAACCGTGCCGTACAGAATGAGGTAATGCTCACCACTGGGGACATCCATCTGCAGAGAGGAAAGCATGGTTCCGACAGTTTTCTAAACCTGTCCCTCAACCTGTGAGCCTTTCCACAGTGAATTCAGGCTGGTGAAAGAGGCAGAGTTCACCACTTTGGAATCCCAGGCCACAGAGACAGGTGTCTGTCCGGAACCCCGCAGGGGGCAGAGCTCATGACTCGGAACCGAACACATCCCTGAACGACGGTGCCCAGTGGCACTCGCCCCCAGAAAGTTCAGAGCCCGCTTACTCGCAGCTGTGTATGTGGCGGCAGAAGCAGCAGCAGCTGGAGCTGTCTTGGAAGGAACAGGCTCTGGACACGTCCCGTGTGTCTGGTCTGCTCTGAGCGCTCTACGCTTGCTAAGTCATTTAATTAATTAGGCACAGCCAAAAGTCCTGTTCGCTTTGATGAAAATGGCCACTCACTTACAATATCAACAAATATTCTAATGCTCTCAAATGCTGGCAACGTGACTCAGGTTTTAACAGAAAACTCTCGGGATGCCTGGGTGGCTCAGTCGGTTAAGCGTCTGCCTTCGGCTCAGGTCATGATCCCAGGGTCCTGGGATCGAGCCCCATATTGGGCTCCCTGCTCAGCAGGGACTCTGTGTCTCCCTTTCCCTCTGCCCCTCCCCTCCCCGCTCATGCTCTCTCTCCCTCTCTCTCTCTCAAATAAATAAATAAAATCTTAAAAAACAAAACAAAAAAAAACCTCTCAAAGTATGCCACGAAGTTCTGGAGAAGTGCGAAAAGGCAAATACAGCAAGAGTCCTGTCCACTGCTGAGCTCCTTCGCTGTTTACTTAAAAACTCCGGCTCAGAAACCTCGGTAGGATGCTCTTTAGAGAAAATGGATTTGAAATGTCTTTCTGTGATGAACCAATACTTTGTGGTTAATCAATACAGAACAGCTATGCACAAGTCAGCCTCATTTTGTGTGGTTGGAGGCAAAGTCGTCCAATTTTGTATTTTCAAGATGTCAATACCAAAACGTGTGGATGGTCATTAGAACTTGAAGCCCTTAAGACACAAGAAAGATGAAGTATTTTTTACACCTTGCCGATGATATACTTTTGGAGGAAATATGGGATATCTTTTATAAATGTATATCAAACTTTTTCTTAGTTTATATTACTATCATTGAAAACAAACATCAGCTTTGGTTTTGTATGTATCTGAGAATAGAAGGGTAAATAGGGGCACCTGGGTGGCTCAGTTGGGTAAGCGTCTACCTTTGGCTCAGATCTCAGTGTCCTGGGATGGAGCCCCATGTCAGGCTCTCTCCTCAGGGTGGAATCTGCTTTTCCCTCTGCCTCTGCCCCTCCCCCTGCTCATCGATGCTCTCTCTGTCTGAAATAAATAAATAAAATCTTCAAAAAAAAAAAAGGGTAAAAAAAGATATGTTCAGAAAAGACAATGACATTCCTGTGCAGGGAAACACTGTCGCTCACTGTCTCTTTTTTACCTTGATGTCGTAAGAAATAACAGTTCACCGCCTGCTCTGAAATAAGAAGTTAAGTGCATGAATTGGAGACAGGGCTGCCAGAATTTGCAAATAAAATAGAGGAAGCCTGGTTAAATCTGAATTTCAGATGAACAACAAATCGTATTCTGGGTAAGTATGTCCCAAATATTGCATGGGGCATACTTATCCTAAAACAGATCCATGGGGCATGCTCATACTAAAAAATTCTGAGAAGTATCTGAAATTCATCTTTAACTGGGAATTTTGTATTTTATGTCACTATTCCAATGTGAGATCAGAAGATCGTCCCTTGCAGAATGTAGATCTTTACAATGGGTCCTGGTTCCCTCTTGGTATTCCAGCATATATATGTCTTTTCTTCTTACTAAAGCAGGATTTTACAAAATTAGTAGGAGCGAAGATCATTTTGCTTGATTTTTTGCATGTATAGGTGTTCACTTTATTGAAATTGTAGACCTAGTCACAGAAGATTTTTCACTAAGTAGACTTATTTTTTTAAAGAAATGACGAACAAGCCTATATACAGTTGCTGAACTACAGTGGGCAGAATGGTTTGAGGTCAGGAGATGGTTAATGTCAGGACCTACGACGAGGAGGGGCTCTTGATGGCAACGGCCAGGCCTCCAAGCAGCAGCTCTCCCCAGGGGAGGCAGAGAGATCAGTGACACGTGGGTACTGGAGGAGGCAGGAGGACATCTATCACACCCCCACGAATTTATCCTACCCGTGGCAGCCCAACACGGTGGCTTACTACCTCTGTGGTTCATCAAGGCCACCCACTCTCGGCCCAAGGAGGCTTCTCGAAAAGCAACACGGATGGTGACTGTATTTTCTAGGTCACATTCATGTTGTCAGAATAATGTGGAAACATAAACACAAACGTGCCGAGAAATGTTCCCAGTGGTCTAGTGCACGATAGAACTATCACCGTTCTCAACACATCGTGCTCCGAGAACCATCTGTGAACACCTATCTTCTTTTTAGAATTGGACAGATCTTGTTAAAGTAGATGGGAGAGACAGAAGAGATGAAGAAGAAAGCAGAAGTGAAGATTTTGGGGGATGACCAGGCTCACCCCCTCTCCTGCAGTAGAGACGGCTGAGCTCCAGGGCGAGCAAGTGAATTGTCGGAGGAGAGAAGCCCACTACGCCGCAGGACCAGGCAGAGGGTGCATCTCCTGGTCTACCTTAGAGCTCTCCCTACGTTATTAATATGGTATGGAAGGGATTAAAAGGACAGAGCAATTTCAAAGACTATGAAAGGATTCTCACAGGCTGAACTTTTAGGCAGAAAGATCCTTCTACAGACAGACGCCCTTTCTTTGTCTTGGTCCAGCTTGGGGAAGAATGAAAGTAAAAGCTTATTTGTAGCTTACATTTTGGGGGGCGAGAAGACCGATGGAAGACCACTGAGCCTTCCTCAATATATTTCCTGATATTAAATAAATCTCCCACCAACTATTCTGGATCTCTAGAATGTGGTGTTATTGTGAGGACTGAATTCACGGGACCACCTCAATATAGAGTTCTTTCCCACCGTTTGCTATCCAGCTGGTTCTGCACGAGCAGGCTCACTGTCGCAAAGACTGCGACACCAGAAGCAATCAGAAGGAGAACATCCCCTCCCCTTGCTCTTCCACGACCTTAGAGACGGGATCGAACGCCCGCCTGTGGGGAGTGGGTCGGTGCTGGGGGGGTGGACGCTCACCATCTGTGGAGCAGCCGCTGGTTCCGTCACCGGAGCAGTACCGCATCTCGATTCTCTGCCTTCCCACTTCGAGCAGATTTGGACCAGGCAGGCGGGCTTTGCAAGTGTAGCGGAAGCGCTGCTCATAGTGGCCCCCGTTGTCTGAGATGTTGACGGGCGTCCAGGGCGTCCAGGGCGTGGTCTTCTTCAGCTCGGGGCACGGGTTGGTGTTGCAAGGCTGGTACTCCTGGGCGAGAAAGGGCATGGCATGTGCTTATCGTGCAAGCATCCACAGAGTCCCGGGCTTCCTTCTTTTTTTTTTAAGATTTTATTTATTTATTTGAGAGAGAGAATGAGAGACAGAGAGCACGAGAGGGGAGAGGGTCAGAGGGAGAAGCAGGCTCCCCGCCAAGCAGGGAGCCCGATGTGGGACTGGATCCCGGGACTCCAGGATCATGACCTGAGCCGAAGGCAGTCGCTTAACCAACTGAGCCACCCAGGCGCCCCCGGGCTTCCTTCTTTCACCGGAAGATGGGGCTCTCTAAAACTGCACGTGCTGACACCCATCTGCTACTCTACCAAGTGAAAAACAGTGCTGTTCAGTTGGGCCTTTAAAAGCATGTTCAGTGTCCAGGGTCCACTGCAGAAGGAACCTGCACAGTTTCTCCTGTGTCAATGAGGAGAATGAGACAATAAATGTAACCGGATGTGAATAAGAATGGTGAGCCCATAAAAATCACTTTCCTCTCACTTGATAAATAACCCAAACTGCTGACTATTCCGGTGTGAAGCTTAACTGTTTTTCTTTTTTAAAAGGCTTAAAGTTAAAATGATGGAACCAAAACATTTTATTTTGGACAACGTAACACTCAGCTTGAGATGAAGGAGTGTTTTAAGCTCTGGGATCACGGATTGGAAGTGTTAGAGTAGTAGAGTATCCAAATAACACACACAAAATGTAGTAACTCATAGTGTGTAAGTTTTCACAGCATTTCCCTGCTTAATCCCTGGACAGCGCTTCTCACTTTCTCTTCCCTTCCCTCGCCACCAGATTCCTCCCTTGTAAGCACAGGGGGGAGCATCCCGGTTACTGAGCAGCGTACATTTGAAGGTCTGGCAAATGGGGCATGGTGTGTGTGTGTGTGGGGGTGTGGAACTGATTAAGATTCTTAAAGATTTATTTGTCAAGAATTCTAAACATGGCATCTCCATAAAAAGCACCATGTATGAAGGGTACAAGGTTGGACCTTGGACACAGCACTGTTTGTTCTTCCACTGGACAATAAAGGTTGTTTCATTAGAGGGAAACCCACAACATATAATACATCCAATTATGATCATACCTTAAAAATGATTTTTATCAGTGTTAAACATATATATCAAGTAACTGTTAAATAGCCCTCTAAGGTTTTTTTATGAAAAAGAGAAATATTCTTTCCCCCATATCTTTTATTTACTTTTTAAATTTTATTTTATTTTACTTTATTGTGTTATGTTAGTCACCATACATCATTAGTTTTTGATGTAGTGTTCCATGATTCATTGTTTGCGTATAATACCCAGTGCTCCATTCAATACATGCCCTCCTTAATACCCATCACTAGGCTAACCCATCCCCCCACCCCCTCCCCTCTAGAACCCTCAGTTTTTTTCTCGGAGTTCATAGTCTTTCATGGTTCGTCTCCCCCTCCGATTTCTCCCCCTTCATTTTTCCCTTCCTTCTCCTAATGTCCTCCATGCTATTCCTTATGTTCCACAAATAAATGAAACCATATGATAATTGACTTTCTCTGCTTGACTTATCCCCCATATGTTTTAGTTAAATATTTGCATGTTTAGCCCCTAGATCTAACAACCAGAATTTTCAAGGATCAGGCATTATCCATTAACTGTGCATTATGGAAGGAGAGGGTTTGGCCCTTTACTCCCTCCCCCATCCCTGTGTCAGCAACATTGATGAAAATTTACCATCTCTCATCATCTTAATGCAGTAACATTGTTCCTTTGGTTAGATCAAAGTCTAGCGTTTGCACTCGTAACTAGGGGCACACCATCCCCAGCTGAGGGATGGGATAGGGTGATGGGCTACTATTCTTATCCAGGTCCCTTGCACACTAAAGTTTTTGGGGGTGGTTGTTTAGATTCTATGACTTCATCACCAATTTATCCCCCCTCCAATCAGGGACTTAGGCATAGTAAGAACTGTCCTTGTGGGTTTATGCTTCGAAAGAATACTCCTTTAATATGATAGTCATGTGCTTCCAGTAGGAAAGAGAGTGGCCATGTGTGTCCACACAGCCAGCTCTATTTGGAAGCCTATGAAAATATGTATTTTGTCATTAATCTAATTACTCTAACTAGTTTTCTTTACTAGTAGTCCAATTAAAAAAAAAAATACCCATAAGTAACAAGACTCAGGAGTTCTTCCTGTGTGTGACATCACAGGTTTTCAGCAGGAATTACGGAAAGTGGTCACCACCGCTTCTCTGATTTCTTATCTTCTCGCCATTTCCTTCCCCGCCCACACCGATGCACCTCATCCCCACACCAACACGTACCAGGAAGATTCATGACTTCATTTCCCTTTGTTTATGGCATCTTTTATTATGATATTATTTGGATGCTGCCTCTTAAATGAAAAAAATAGCCCCAGTGAATGCTATAAACCCAATCGTGTGAAAAACCAGGCAGAACACGCGTGAGCCCTCTCATTTTCTCTTGAAATGGAGGCCACACGATAGGAATGCAATAAACCCTTGTCCAGGCTTGCCGTGTGATGGCACCACCATCCCCAGATTGAAAATGCTACATGCCACTGTCCTCCCCTTCATCACTTCAGCCTGGTGGGGCAGGTGTCCAGGGCTCCTTGCTGAAACCGACTCAGAACATATGCGGTTTATGGACCCCTGCTTAAAAAGTGCGGGTCCTTAAGCATTAACAAGTTCGTCAGTAAGATCCCCCATTTTAAGAAACAAATATAGGATGCTCCCAGTGACTCTTTGCTTCTGTACACCAGAAATGTGACCTGTTCTATGGAGGTGAAGTTTCATTTTTGAAATACATGAATAGCAAATATATTTTAAAGCTGGCTCAAGAGGCTGAGTTGGTCTCTGTGTGCTGGTGACATGTCCAACGGGGCAGAGGTGGGCACAGCTCAAGGATAAAGATCAATGTGGGCTTATTAGATAGCCTCTGATAACAAAGTTTGTTCTTCCATTCATTGTTTTTTCATCGTATGAAGTTTACCTTGAGACTCAGAACTGCCCTTTTCACCTGCTTCTTGAGGTTTGATTGTGATGCATTCATTTCAAATATCAAATTATGAAATGCCAAGAAATGGTATGACCAAACAGTTTTATATCGGTGACCAAAATTACGAAGTGATTTCATTCAATGGTAAGTAGTTCTATGGCTCCGCCGAATCTGGATGCCACAATGTACTGATGACCCACGGCAGTAACTACCCAACTTGAATGTAACGTGAACAATATTACATTTAATGCTAAAGATAGAAATTATTTTCTAAGAAGTTTCAGGGAGTCAGTTACTATTACTTGTCATATCAGATGCCTAATATTCTGCTAGAAAATACTAGGTAACAATGGTCACTAATATCCATTCCACTTCGAGGTATACAGCTGAAGAAACTGAAATCAGGATCTTAGTGTGACTCCCATGTTCATCACAGCATTACTCCCAGTAGCCAAGGTATGGCAACAAAGTAAGTGTCCATCAACAGATGAATGGATAGACAAGATGTGGTATGTGTGTGAACATGATATATAATATACACTACAATGTGTAATAATATATAATATATACCACTCAATCATAAAAAGGAAGGAAATCTCCCCATAGATCCAGGCTTTTATGCTCAGGTTACATTATTTGGGTCTTATGAGGCCCTCTAGGCTAATGGCCAGTGATAAAAGTTATTTTCCTCTGGGTATATTTCATTCTAGAACATTCTCTGGCTTTCCTGAAGAACAAAGGAAGAACACAGTTACTAGGTTGTCAGCCATCCTATATTTAAACCTAATTTTCCTAGAGGCACACATGGGCAGTGTCATGATACTCCACGCAATCTGTGAGGGAGCACAGCACCCAAGCGTGGAGGTTGTCCCCACTTTTTCCCATGACACATGTTTCCTGTGTACATCACAAGAAGGTTATTATGAAGGTCAAATGAAATCATTAATAGATAAGCACTCTGTAAAACATGAGAAGCTCTAGGAATGTAAGTCGTTGTTATTACTCTACCGGGAAGCCAAAGTCTAACGGATATTCCATCCCATTTCACTTTTCTTGACTCCAAGCCACGGAAAAAATCCTTAAGCAAAGAAGTGATCCCAGAACCTGAGTACTGCATTCAATTTATTTCAGCAAACAGATTGGCCCAATATTACCATCCAGAATGGAAATCTCTTATTTGGTCCCTGAAAATCCCTGCAGTAAGTGGAAAGAGTAAATGATATTTTCTGTACAAAGAAAAGAAAGAGCAAGTGGGAATGTTCAGAGGGGTTCTCTCATCATGGTTTAGCTTAGGCCATCGGAAAATATCTGTTGAAATTGCAGCTTTAATTCCACCACGGTCAGCTCGTGTTCCAGTGACATCATGAACTTGAAGGGCGGTCAGGGCAGCAAACCCTCATCTAAGAAGAGCAGGTATGTTTGGGGAGAAGGCTGCTCTACCCAGAAGCTGCATATTGGTGCCTCTGAGGGGAGAAGCCAGAGAGAGCAAGCTGGACACCAGACCATGGAACACGGGGGCAAGGAACAGCACTGTCCTGGGGCTGCCGCCGCCAAAAGGGTGATGGTTCATGAAAGACAGCACATTGGCCCCAAGTGCTGGTTGGACGTGAATGAATCAAGGATATTCCAAAGCCTTGTGGGTGAGGAAACAGAGCATAAACGCCTTGTTTGGAGTCAAAACTCACGTGTGAGAATGACCTTCTAAAAAAAAAAAAATCCACCAGGGGCACCTAGGTGGCTCAGTTGGTTAAGTGTCGGCCTTTGGCTCAGGTCATGATCTCAGGGTCTTGGGATAAAGCCCCGCACTGGGCTCCTTGCTCGGTGGGGAGCCTGCTTCTCTCTCTCCCTCTGCCTGCTGCCCCTGCTTGTCTCTCTCTTTCTCTCTCTCTGTTAAATAAATAAATAAAACCTTAAAATTAAATTAAAAAAAAAAAATCCACCTTGTGACAACTTGGATGGACCTTGAGGACATTATGCTAAGAGAAACGAATCTTG